AAATTAAATACACTTTTTGGGTAATGAAGATAAATTCTTATAATTGTATTTAAATTATGCTGAGCTTAACTAAAAATTATAAGTTTTTTATAAATTAACCTATTTTTTTAAATAAAAATAAAATTTAGCAACTATTAGCAAATTTTTGATTTTGTAATAAAAAACCTATTTTACTTTTATTCTGTTTAATTTACGAAATATCCACATATTATTCAACTGAACTTCGCCAGAAGTTTCGTTACCCACCTCGCTGTGTGATGCTTGCTTGGGTTTTGTGGCGGCGAGGTTGCTGCCTCACTTTTATGCACAATCAAATGAAATGAATTGTGGTCTTATGGGCAACGGATTTTGTGGTCTTAGATGAGCGTCACAAAAACAACAATAACGGCAATAGTAACAGCAGCAACAGCAGCAACAAACAGCAACAACAACAGCCATCTACAAATACGGCGATTTGTTGTCCCCGGGACTAATAGAAATCTATTACTTCCGAGCGAGCGCATCGTGCCGAGACTCTCAATTCCAGCATTCAGTCCATGCCTACCTAATATGACTCTCAATCTCTATTGCAGATGCTACGACAGCGTCGCCGTCGGCCTTTGAGCGCTTTAAGGCGCTGCGGCGCAGCAGTCGCCGGAACGGCCACAAGAGCCACAAGAAGCGCTACAAGGACTATCTGAAGCACAGCAGCGCGCTGTCGGTCAAGCAGCGCAAGGATCGGGAGCAGCACGCGCAGAAGTGGCAGCAGCAAAGGCAGCTGGCTGAGAAGCAGGAGCGAGAGCAGGAAAAGGAACGGGAACGGGAACGGGAACAGCAGAAGCAGCAGCAGGAGCAGCAGCAGCAGGAGAAGCAGCAGCAGGAGAAGCAGCGTGAACGAACTGAACAGGAAACACACGCCCATGCATCGCCAATCTTTGCGCTGGGCGTACGGCCGCAGCGCAACACACCGAAACCCTTCTACGAGGGCCAAGTGAACTACTACGACCATCAGGAGGAGCAGCCGCTGCAGCCCCTGGGCACTCACCACACCGAAATGGAGCGGCTGATTGCCAGCGATAATGACAATTGGTATCGCCGCATCAGTCCAGTGTTGCGCAACGGCATCAAGAGCACTGAGATGCATAAGCAGCACCAGCAGCAGCAYCAGGCCAATCATCATCATCATCTGAAGCATCATTATCATCAGCACCATCACCATAAGCATGCACGCCAACGTTTACCGAATCCGTATCAGCGCAAGGCCCCAGCTCAGCTAGCGACGCCGCCGACAACGCCGCAGCCGCCGCTGCCGCCACCGAAGCCGCAATTGGGCCACCAGATCACCGAGCTGGAGCAACTGGAGCGCTACTATGCCAAGTGGCCGCATCTAGCGCGCGTTCAGTTCCAGGTGTACGACGAGCACTACCGCGAAGCCCACCCGGAGCTCTATGGCGACTACGATGCGGACGACGATTACGAGACGGCTGCCGAACTGGAGGAGGCGCAGCAGGATCATGGCGCGGAGGCCAATCTGCCGCCGTACATCAAGAAGTACAATCGACGCAACAAGCAGCTGCTGAACCTGCTGGAGGGCACGCTGCCGCCACCGACGGCCACACCGTTCCCGGGCATCTGGAGCGGCTCACAGCTGCAGCCGGGCCCGCATGAGTCGGCGCCCATACGAGTGGACGATGAGTACGTGAAGCAGAAGCGACGTCGCTATCAGCAGCGCTACGAGGACGTCTTTGCCCAGCAGCACAGCAGCAGCAGCAGCAGCAGCGGCAGCGGCAGCGGCAGCTCCACCACGACTCCAGCCACGCTGTCCAGCAGCCCGGCGTCGCAGCTAAACCAGCTGCCCGAGGAGGACAAACAACTGGATGAGCATCAGCTGTCGGCTGCCGTTGATTTCTGGCAGAGGGAAGTCGAAACGAAGGCGGGGCCCAAGCCGCCGTCGCCGCACACATCCACCTCGAAGCCGGCCCTGTACAAGCTGCCACTGTACCCGGCCATCGCGGGCAGCTTCCTGGGCACGCCGCGCAGTCGCAGCGCCCAGTTCGTGGCGAATGTGTCGGGCCGTGGACAAGGCAGCTGGCGTCCTGCTGCTCCGGCAGCTCCGGTCGGTGCTAGCAACCATGTGGATGCCCATAATGCGACAGCTCCACCGTTTTCGCCACTCAACTCGTTTGTCTATCATCGCGTGGTCGACAGCATTGGGGCTGCCTCCTCGCTCAGCCGCAAGCAGCGTCTGCCCTTTGTGGCCATCACGGATCGGCGGCTGGAGAGCGTCGGCGCGCACAAGTTGGCCGGAGAGCAGCACAAGGAGCTCGAGCAGAATCACTTTCCAATGCCTTAAGCCGCTCCAGCAACACGATCACGCTCAGCGCAAGTAGAAGAAGAAATAGAAAAACAGCAGCAAAAAAAAAAAAATAAATAATAAGAAAAACAAATGATGGAAAACTAGTTCGACCCCAAGCGATGCGCATGGAAATGGAATCGAATTCAATTAAGTTCGTGTACAAGCATATCAAATTTAAGAGTGGAGTAGTGGAAGGGAATCGAGTAGAACGGATTCAAAGAGATGATATCTAGAGTTAAGGACGGAATGAAAAGAGCAGACAATGAAGAAAACAGAAGCAATTCAGACCGATGAATGCGACAGAGCAGCAGCAGCAGTGTATAAAGATATCGGTAATCGAGCGCAATTAATCGATAAGAAACGAATTCGCACGTATATCAACGTTACGTTTCGACGTCGCTCCAAACGGATTTCCTTTGCTTACCAAACTTAAGCCTAGACATCAATTTTGAGTAGTTGCTTTCGAATAAAAGTCTTAAGTTTCGACCTATGAGAAAAGAGCACTAGCTGTAATTGGTTGTTTTTTGTTAATTTTAATTTTAATTTTTTTTTATAAGAACTCTTGCATATTAAACATAAACGGCAGACGTTATAGGCAATTAAAAATAAAATAATA